TTCAAAATTTGTTAAGAGCTAAAGACTGAACATGATTTTGTGTTCTTTTCTATATTATAGATGATGTGGCAGTCATTGATGAGATTCAAATGTTGAGGGACCAGGAGAGAGGAGGGGCCTGGACAAGGGTACTTCTGGGTTTATGTGCCAGAGAAATCCATCTCTGTGGAGAGGAGGCAGCCATTAATCTTGTACGGAAGATCGTCGGCAGTACAGGAGATACATTAGAGGTATATGTACTATAAAGATGGCCAAAACCATCAAAATTAAAATATCTTCAAAAATCTACTCCTGGAAATCAAGTCAAATTATTCACAAAGTTATAATTAGCAATGAACCCTCTATCAAAATTGTGAAATTTATGGCCCCTGTGACCAGGATTCAGGCATAGGGTTTTTGTTATATATTGAAAATGCATTCTTTACTCATGGAAAATCAAGCATGCAAACTGTTGGCATGATTATAAAGAGTAATGTAACAATAGGTATAACATGATGTTTGTAAACTACATTCAGATTTCTGTTGAATAGTAAGTATCATAAAGGATGACTGCACTTAAGGACATGCGGAATTTGCGACAAAATAATCTTTCAAAACAAGCATTTTTCTTTTCATTGCAAGAATGATCAACATCCAATCTACAACTTTATGTAATTACGCTTAATAAAAGTGTGTATTTACGAAGTTCGAATCTGTTTTCAAAGGCAGGGGTCATCACAATTTCTTGAATCTCTGTTCAATAATGAGGACGCCCACTTTTTTACTGACTTTATACATAGTCAGCGCATGTTTGTCTATTGTTCGCCGTTTAACAGTAGTTGTATATTTGCATAAATAATAATGTATCAAAAGGAGATTAATAGACAAACATGCGCTCATGGTTAAAAAGAGAAAAAAATGCTTCTTCTTACATTCGCTCTCTGTGTTGTAACCAAGGATTGTGACATGTTGAATATTATAATTCACCACGTGATTTCTTACTTCAGGTAACTTTGTGAATACTAAATTCCGACACGTGACTTGTAAGGAAGCATGTTTTGTGCTAACTAGGACATTGTGTTCGAACACATTAAGTCATCTGGCATTGATATAAAATCTGCTTTAATTACATTGACGTGCTCATATTGTTAATTTCGTTTTGAAACCTTTGTCAGAAGTGTATTTATGCCATACAGAATGGAGAGGAGATTGGAAAGAGTGATCACATTCGCTTTTTCAAACATGTCATTGTTATTTATCAGCTGTTTATGTAGTCTAATTTTAGAGCCATTCTTACAATGTTAGCTCCACCTCTCATGCATGTCTAATGTTCAATCAAGGGCAGGTAAGTGTAAATTCACTATATTTGGAAAGCAGTAAGGACAAAAAACATTGAATCATTTTATTGTATCACAGTCTAAAATCATTTTAAGATTAAAATGTGCTTCCAAATTGACAGTATTCTTTCATAAACATACAAAAGTGAGATAAGGTTTAGACATAAAAGCAGCACAAGCAACCGAAAAAGACCCAAAAACAGGCGTTAAGTGCAGTCATCCTTTGATTAAAAATCTACTTTCTCTTTCAATAACAGTCAAGTAATAGCAAAAAAGAGAGTATGGTTGTAGTTGCAGTTCACAGATCTAAGTTATTTGCAATTTATAATGAAGCTGACAACAAGCAATCATTTGATTATTAGCTCTTCTGAGCCAAAGGCTCAAAGAGCTAATGCTATGGCCATTTGTGTGGTGTACGTAAACTTTTTAGAATATGGGCCATAACTCAAGAACCCCTTGGCCAATTATTGTCAAATTTGTCAAAGGGTATCCTTGGCCAAAGGGCTCCGGGTTATACTAAAACTAGGGTTGTGACCCTTAAACAAGGGGAGATAATTAGGAAACCAGAGTTGGGAGATAATTGGGAAAATAGAAACAAAAGTACTGGTTGCTAAAAAAACATCTTCTCAAGAACCACTGGGCAGATTATCACCAAACTTACACAAAAGGATAAGGATATGTTGAAGATTAAAAATTGTAGAAGGCATCACCCTGGGGTAAAGGGCGTGGTCTCAAGGTCACTTCAAAGTTGACCAAAAATTACATTTTATTAAAATGTTATTTTGCTTACTATAAGGACTAGGATCATCAAATCTTGTCAGTTGATGCATCTAAGGACCTCATATCATGTTGACTCAAAAGTAGATCACAGTGACCTACTTTTTTAATTTTGCGGCCATTCTTTTTCAAAATGATTTAGAGGCATATTTTGAATAATTTAAGGCCTATGATTATCAAACTTTGTCAGGTGATGTATCTTGGGTTCCCAAGTATGTCTACTAAAAAGTAGGTCACCTTATCTTTTTCAAAATAATGAAGGTCATTAATTCGAATACTGAGAGGTTTAGAATCATGAAATCTTGCAAAATGATGCATCTTTGGGCCATAAAACATATGTATTAAAAAGTATGTCACCATGACCTACTTTTTGAACTTTGTAGGCATTCCATTTCAAAGCATTTTAGAGGCATAATTTGGACGTTTAAGGCATGTGATCATAAAACTTAGTAAGTTGATGCATCTTGGGTCCTCGAAAAACATCAACTGAAAAGTAGGTCACCATGACCTACTTTTCAATTTATATGTCCCCAAGTACGTCTACTAAAAAGTAGGTCACCTTATCTTTTTCAAAATAATGAAGGTCATTAATCGAATACTGAGAGGTTTAGAATCAAGAAATCTTGCAAAATGATGCATCTTTGGGCCATGAAACATATGTATTAAAAAGTAGGTCACCATGACCTACTGTTTGAACTTTGTAGGCATTCCATTTCAAAACGTTTTAGAGGCATAATTTGGAAGTTTTTAGGCCTGTGATCATAAAACTTAGTAAGTTGATGCATCTTGGGTCCTCGAAGAACATCAACTGAAAAGTAGGTCACCATGACCTACTTTTCAATTTATATGACTATAATTAAATATTTCAGGTACTAATTGGCTAAGAATTATCAAACTTAGTCAGTTGATGCATCTTGGGTCTTCGGAGTAGGTCATCTGAAAAGTAGATCATCGTGACCTACTTTTGAAAATTTATGGCTTTAATTAAATATATCTGGTACTAATTGGCTTAGAATCATCAAACTTTGTCAGTTGATGCATCTTGGGTCCTCATAGTATGTCATCTGAAAAGTAGGTCATTGTGACCTACTTTTTAAATGTCTGGTAATATTTAGCTTAAAATCATCAAAACTTGTCAGTTGATATATCTTAGGTCCTTGCAGTAGGTTGACTGAAAAGTAGGTCATCGTGACCTACTTTTCAATTTATATGACTATAATGAAATATTTAGGGTACTAATCGAGTAAGATCCATCAAACTTTGTCAGTTGATGCATCTTGATCCTTGGAGTAAGATAACTGAAAAGTAGGTCACCATGACCTACATATGAAAATTTATGGCTTTAATAAATATTTCAGATACTAATTGGCTTAGAATCATCAAACTTTGTCGGTTGATGCAACTTGGGTCCTCAAAGTATGTCATCTGAAAAGTAGGTCACTGTGACCTACTTTTGAAATTTTATGGTTACAATTTTAAAAATATTTTAGCTATTAATTGGCTTAGAACCATTAAACTTAGTTGATGCATCTTGGATCTTCAGAGAATGACAAGTGATAAGTAGGTCACCATGACCAACTCTCAGGTACTAATTTGCTTAGAGTCATCTTGGGTTCTCAGAGTGCTTCATCTAAAATGTAGGTCATGATGACCTACCTTTGGAATTTCAAGAGTTTATCTAAATATACAGGATACTTAGAGGCTTCAAATAGAAGTGATAGGTTGTACAGTTTATCAGAAAAGCGATTCAAGGCCCTTGGGCCTCTTGTTTGATGAAACATCATTAGTGATAAAAACTTGATTTAAGTGATATATGAGGGTTGCTTCAAAAGAAATGTCACAACTACTATGAAAAATAATCAAAAGTTTCCATCAAAACTTAATATACTACTACCTCTATCTATTTTGACTTTTGCCTTAAAATTTCATTCAAATATATGCAATACTTTATAAAATATTAAAATTAATAAAATGTTGGGTTTCGTATATCGCTGCACGGCAAGAAACTACCAACATTGTTATGACATTTGTCTTTGACACTCATATTGAATCTGATGATAGATTTACACAAAAAGGAATGAATTTAGAAATAATATTTGGACAAAGTTCAATGAATTTAATACTACAACTCAAACCAAGATGATTTATAGCAAAATGGCAGTAAAGATTATTAAATGAAGCATGTGAAAAATTTAAAAGGTAAGGGGATGAACTGAAAATGAGTGCAGAAGAGTAACATCATAACAATGTAACATTCTTGCTGTGCAGCGATAGACAAAACCTAACATTGTGTTTATCTTAATATTTTAAAAAGTATTTTAGGTAAAAGAATGAAAGGATGACTGCACTTAAGGACATGTGAAAATGCGACAAAATAAACTCTCAAAACAAGGAATTTTCTTTTCATTGCAAGAATGGTCAACATCCAGTCTACAACTTTATGTAATATTGTTTAATAAAAGTGTGTATTTACAAAGTTCGAATGTGTTATCAAAGGTAGGGGTCATCACAATTTCTTGAATCTTCATTCGATAATGAGGACGCCCACTTTTTTACTGACTTCATACATAGTCAGCGCATGTTTATCTATTGTTCTACGTTTAACAGTAGTTGTATAATTGCATAAATAACTAGTAGACTAATTGTTCTGGAACAATTAGAGGTCTTTCCACCTTCTTTAAATTTCTTTAATTTTTATATTTTACTCTCTAAAGTTAATTTTTATACAAAAAGAATCTATAAATGGCTTGAAAAAATGAAAATTTTAAAAATTTTGAAATGACCTTGACCTTTGACCTTTAACGTTAAAGGGTGATAACTCGTATAAGGGGTCATCGGATCCTTTTGCACTGAATAGACTGAAGTTGTGTCTAAAGACCCTGAAGACATAAGTGAAGATTTGATGTCTCTATGGTCTACGGTTCCATAGGAGTAGCGATAACAAGGTTTTTCGCACAAGGGGTAATAACTTTCAAAGGGGTTAAGCTTAGGGGACAAGAATGAAGTCTTTGAAATAGATTTAGGAATACATATTAAAGATGCAAAGACAGATAGAATATGTTGAAGGACAGAAGAGCTGTAAAAAGAGCTTAATTTCTCATTTTTTGAATGACCTTGACCTTTGCATATATTTTAAG